GGTCATACTGCCTCCGTCATCAGGGCGGTGAGTATGAAGATTTCTGTCTTCTGGGTTGTTGCGCTGTGTAGTCTGGTAGATGTTTACTAACGTTTCAGAGGTCATACTGCCTCCGTCATCAGGGCGATGAAGATTTCTGTCTTTTGGGTTGTTGCGCCGCGTAGTATGGTAGATGTTTACCGACGTTTCAGAGGTCATACTGCCTCCGTCATCAGGGCGATTCTTAGTATGAAGATTTCTGTCTTCTGGGTTCTTGCTCTGTGTAGTCTGGTCGATGTCAACCGACGTTTCAGAGGTCATACTGCCGCCGTCATCAGGGCGATGATGACGGAGGCAGCATGACCTCCGAAACGTTGGTAAACATCGACCAGACTACATAGCGCAAGAACCCAGAAGACAGCAATTTTCAAGAAGGATATTGCTTTGAAAATATACTTTGTTATATATTTTTAGAGCGTTTGTTTTCTTTGAAGGCACGTAATAATAAATATTTTCTGTACTGTTGGCACGTAAAAATATACTTCCTTGACATCGCCATCCTGAAACAATGGTCGCAGATATGGAGAACGTTGAGCGATATTAGTAGGAAAACGGGGGTTGCGGAGGGAGTCGTGAACGGTGAGTGCAAGGACTCCACTCGCATCTCAATTGTGTTGTTCAGTCGTTGGATGGCCGTGTGTATCCGTTCACGGCTATGTGCGTGTGTGCGCGTGTTCTGGGAGCTTCGTACCAGTAATTGTTGAAATGTAGGAGGTGTCAGAACGGTACGTATTTTATGTCGCGTTAATGTATGTCCGCCCAGAACGCTTCTTGTATGTCACGGTCTATCGACTGCGATATCTTGTCATGAGGTGAACATCTGACTTTGCTCAGTGCTGCGTGTTATATTTAGTAAGCTGGGAGCGAGCGATTCGCGGAGCTCTGTTCCCACCGCAGCGGACGTCAGTTGGTCTCTGCATCTGTCAGGTGCTTGCTAATTTGTGTGCGTCCAACCCGTGTTGGGTATGGACTTCCTTTCGAAGATTTTACAGCGAAAACCAGCAAAGGTCAGTTTTCTTATTAATTTGCGCTTTGATTTGTGTGAAAGAAGAAATCAAAATATTAGTCGGATGAAAATCTGGATCTAGTCTATCTTTAGAATTGCATTATTGGCCAATGAAGATCAGCGTAATTGCGTAAATTGGAGTTTTGCCAGTTCAGACATTGAAATTATTTCCTTTAAAAGCTGATTCATTTGGTGCGAGGTGTTTACCAGTTACTTGGCGTGGGGACTGCTGTACTGTCCTGAGGTCGAACGTATTAATAACAACGCGAAAGGTTTTCTCATGTAATAGCCACTCGAGCCACGATTTTCATGCTGTAATTTCGAAAATTATTCGTAGCTGCGTGCAGGGTTTGCCGTTTAGCATAACAAATTATATATTAAATACTGCATAAAAGATGCTCTGTAATAGGCACCGTGCTTTGGCAAAGTCTACAGAATTACGTAGCCACACCCTGCCTAGAAAATTGTATTCTAGGATTTCAGCAATCGGGTGTTAAGTAAATTGTACCTCAGCTTAACGAATTTTTCCTGCAGACGCTTTCAGTGGAAACCAGTGTCTTCGTTTCGCAGCAAAGCCGAAGAGCGCAAGGTTGATACGACCGAAGTTTTCCTCCGTACCTACAGGTGGTTGGTGCATTTACCCTCTCAGTGCTGCAGGCGAGAGGTGTAGTTTAGGAGCACTTGTCTTCATCGCAGAAAGTGTTCAAGCTGCAGTGACCTGAAATATCTCCAGTCGTCCTCCCGAATTTATTTTCCAGCGATGGAAATAGGAAATTTACGATTAAAAGACAGGACTTGTCGTGTCCCTATAAAAAACTGTCTTTCTTGCCAGTTGTCCCACGTTTTCATATTTGGGAGGTCCCGGGTTCAGATGTCCAACCTGACTAGCTACCGTTATTCTCTCCATGCAGATGTGGTAATACCTTAAGTTGGCCACCACCGCTTCCGTTGCCATCTTTTCCAGTTCATTATTCGCTTATCGTGAGGGCGTTTTTTAATCTTAGGTGAAAGCATAATTAAATAAACAGTAAGTAAATTAAACATCCAGTTTCTTACTCAGTACGAATGGTATGCAGAAATGCAACTCGGTCTATTACGTATTTAACGAAGCTTATTGTTGCTTCGTATGCTTTAAATAAATTAGTATTGTGGTAAGTTACATGTATTTGAGCAATAAACGGGACATACTTTTCGCCTTTCGATCGCATATACGACCCAACTTCCTTTCTAAGCTCCGTGTGACTTCTTCCTCTTCCCAAAGAAGAAAATTCAGCTAAAGGGAAGGAGATTTGAGACGATAGAAGAGATTCAGGCAGAATCGCAGATGGTGCTTGACAGGCTGACAAAGAAAGATTTCCAGGGATGCTTCCAGGCTTGGCAGCGGCGCTGGGATCGTTGTGTTCACTCCCAGGGGAACTACTTCGAGGGTGATGGATGAATTTAATACCTGAGATAAGTGTACGGGTTTTTATACGCGCAGTCTTGAAACTTTCCGATCGCACATCGTATTCGTAGATGGTCTCACTGGAGACTGGTCGGCCACAGCAGTGTTGTGGGACGGAAATTCAAATGCCTGCTCGTTGAAGCTTAGAATGTTGGGAACTTGAAGAGACAGCGATATTCTCAGTTTCGGCATTATGTGACGCAGTCGGAAGAAAGTAAGGCGACTTAACCGATGCTTCCGTGGAATGTGCCGCGTTTACCCTAAACGTGCGGAACTGTTTCACGCGCGTGCTGCTAGAAATATTGTATGTACCACGTTCGGAGGGAATGTTGCTGACTTTACAGGATGCGTTGTGCAAGTAACTGTCAAATCTCACACGTATCTGCCCCACGTGTGGTGATTACTCTCTTCCATATCTGCTGCTTTATGAAGTGTAATTTGTAACAAACAGGTGACCGACCGGACGCCTGGCGCGCCTCGTATGGCCTCGCTAATGCGACCACTTTGGTGATGACCTTGGTCCGATGTCTCTGTAGGAAGAACTGGTTTGTGCACTGAACTAATCATGTGACGGCTTGTTTGCGCAGAGCGGCGGCCGCGGCAGTCCGGCCCCCGCAGCTACATCCCTCGTCAAGCCCGACCACGAGGCGCACGTCGAGTTTGCCCGCGAATTCGTCGTCGAGTTGGTGGAGAGTGTGCCCAAGAAAAGGTGAGTCGAGCCGTTATGAGAGTCCACCGGTAAGTGACCACGGTGGCACTCGTCACTTTGATAATGTATTCTTCACAGTGTGCGAATGCCAATTTTCATTAGGCCGAAACTACTTCAGTTAAATGGAATTTATAAACTCCGGGGACAGATGGATGATGTTGATGCGTGTTCCATATATTTCAGTTTATTTAACGAAGGTCTCAGAAAGTGACTTTGGCGAAGGCCAGTGTTTAATTCTCTAATAGAAAAGAAAGCGTGCGTAGTATTTTTGTATTCGTTAAATAATCCTGAGACCTAGGACTTTGTCCGATATCAATCATACCGGCTTTTGTTATGACATCTGAATGGGCTGTTGATCTTACGGTCAGTCTTTAAGATTGCCATATCTGATTAATCAGCTTTTTGCCCTGTCGTATGCGAATGCTAGAAGTAGACGTTACCTCCCAGGCGCCCCGCTGTCGGCAAGAGGATGACTGCTCGTGATCCAGGAAATCGGCAGGAAACTCGTGATTCACCGTCAAGGGCCGACTGAAGTTGTCGCTAAAATTATTAACACAGCGATGGAACTTTGTTAAACATCGTGTTAATTACTCGTTATTTTGTGTGTGTGTGGTATATGGTTAGAGACACTGATGAAATTTGTTTTTCTGTATGAATCGTATGTGCTAGAACGTGGCGTAGTTTTCCCGGCATTGCTGTTGCTTAGAACAACAGGCACCCACGAACATAAAGTCAGGTCTGCTAGGTCGCTTCTGGACATGGAACCTGCGAAGACAAACTTGCGGAATAAAAAACAGACGGTGTATGAGCTAGATAAGAACACCACGGAAAACGCTGAGACGCCTTGTACCAGACAACGGCAACCCGAAATCTTCAGAAGCCAAAGCGACGAAGCTGCTTAAAAACTTCATCCTCATGACGGTGAACTTGAAACTCATTTTACTTCTTGTCTGATGAAGCGTAGTTTCTTTTTGCACTGACATATTTCGATATTAGTTTAATCGACATTTGATCAATCCATAAATCAGCCAAGCTCTTCGTGTGCGTACAGGGGCGGCGTTTTCGGCGCATGAGAAAGGTTTGTTTTGCCCTTTTTATGGAGCGGAGTCGTATCAGGAAAATCTTGGCGCTGAGTCATGTAGTTCCTGTCTGGATCCGGGAAGTGACGTTTGCTTATAACTGTCAAGTGGACTGTCTGAAGACATCATCTTGAAGCAGCTTTTACTTGTCTGACGAAGGCATGCGTAGCGGCTTCACGAACTAACGATTTGTTGCCAGGTTGCGGCGTGAGCCGATTAGCAGCTGTACATGCAACGCCCGTTTGCCCTTTCTTTTTCGCAAGCGCCCATGTAACAGACCTCAGTGTAAGTCTCAGCACATTACCTCTTAAGGTGTTTCTTCATAAATGGAAATTCGCCAGTAAGAACCGGAGATCTCGTCGACCAAGACATTGGACCACCTCTGTTTCCGATTTTACCACAACGCAGTGCCACGTTTGAGCTCATCCAGAATCAGAAACGACATAAGCAGCTGAGAATCAGTAATTGTAACATCTTCAATCGAATCAGTTTACCAATGTTGCATATATCGAAGTGCACCGGAGTATTATTTTTTTCGAAATCAATCCCCTCCCGTGTCCTGTCGGCCGATTATGATACATTCTGTATATTGCAGGAAAAAAATACTCAGTTCCTGGAGGGGTAGTTCAGTCAGTATAGTGACTAGCTACTGACTGGACGACCGGGGTTCGATCCCCGACGGGGGCAGAGGATTTTTCCTCTAGCCTCTGGGGCCCACCCAGCCTCCTGTCCAATGGGTACCGGGGTCCTTTCCCGGGGGTAAAGCCGGCCGGGGCGTGAAGCTGACCACTCATCCCCACCTAGTGCAGAGGTTAAGAATGAGTAGGAGCTCGTCTCTCTCCCCAAACGCCCGCATGGCGCGTAGCGGCACAACTTTACTTTCTACTCGGTTCTTGCGGGTTACCTGATACGTAAATCGGGGACTGAACCAATCCAAGTTGAGAAATTTTTCAGGTCATCTCTGAGCCATCAGACCAACAGCGTACCTTCACCGATGTGCGAAGTTCGTTCGACACTTATTCCATGATCAGAATATGCTTCATGTTCGTGCAGGAACATTGCCCGGGCAGAGTTTTTTGGTGGGCATTCGAATCGCAATTGTGTCACGACGCCACCAACTGCTCAGGTTGAGTCGTGCAGTTTTCAGGGCGAGATTCGAACTGGGGACGTTCGAAATGCGAAAACATTTGCTCATCGCCCGCTTTCTTTTCATATTTTCCATGTAGATCTGATTATCAAAAGTATATTTTTGCAGTGGATAGTGGGTTTTGCTTCCCATAGAAACCCTGATACCGCCATGTGGGGAGAGGTCTCTTGATACTTGGCATGTGCGAAGTTTGACAACTGTATTTTCTGGAATAATTAGATCGCCTTTTATGTAAATTGAGGGAAATCGGAGAAACTCTTGGTTTTAAATAATAGCCGATAAGCGTCAAGAGTATCCAAGCAAAACAGTTGAAGAAAGAAGCTTCTTCTACATCGATACGCTAGTAGCATTTGTGTCGAGAAATGTTTAAATTCCAGCCAACGTTAAACAGGAAGATCAGCTCGTGTATGTTATGGTTGTTTGAATAAACAACCAAAATAGATTTGTTTGTGAGAAATTGGGATTCTGTATATATGAAACGACTGTGAACGTCGTACGAGTAGGAAATGGACAAAATTAGATTCAGACTTGTGGTGGGAAGTTTGTTGAAATTAATTTGCGTTTAGTACGATACGCCGTCTGTTAAATCAGTGGGATGCCTTGCACGTGAATACGGTTCGGCCTAACCGAAGCAGTTAAAACAAGGAAGTCGTTATTCCTCGCGCAGGCAATAGGGCCTTTTACCTTAAAATTTCTAAGGGCTCCGGCGTTGCCGGTAAAACCGTGTGTCTTGCTCCTGCAGCCCTGGGTAGTTCATGGAAGTCTGGTGTGGCGCTGCTGTGTTTGTACACGCCATGTAGCCGAATGTGACACTGAGTCCCCTGATGTGTTTTGTTTGCCGACTTACATTTACTGTAGTATGGTAAAAGTAAAGTTTGTCCCACTATACGCCATGTAGGCGTTTGGGGGGGAGAGGAGGTATAGCTCCTCTCTTCCTTGACCTCGGCACTAGATGGGGGTGAGTGGTCAGCATCACGCCCCGGCCGGCTTTACCCCCGGGAAAGGACCCCGGTACCCATTGGACAGGAGGCTGGGTGGGCCCCAGAGGCTAGAGGAAAAATCCTCTGCCCCCGTCGGGGATCGAACCCCGTAGCTAGTCACTATACTGACTGAGCTATCCCGGCTCATACTGTAGTATGGTGCTATCCTGTTTTATGACAGAATACGTCTCGTTACTGCATTTCGGCTGTGAGACGTTGTTCATCTTGATGAACGTCATATCAAGAACGTTCACATTTTATTGAACACCTGGAGGGATGCATTTGAATCCCGACAGAAATTAACCTGATATTTAAATTCTACTCAAGCATAAACAGCATATAAACTCGCATTTTGAGGTCTCACGCTTTACTTTAAGCGAAGAATGCGTTATGAGCTCGTACATGTCTGTCATACGAGATCGTCTTGCCATCTGTTGGTGGCATACGAGAACGGTTAATCGGATGTCAATGAAACTGGTATGGTCCTTACGGCGTTACAGGCCAGTCCGAACGAGAGCTCTCTGTGCCCGCCAAACCGTCGGTAATACAAATGTAAAGAATGCTCAGAGTGCAATGATGACGTCGTTACCCACGATCCTCTGCACTACGGTGATGACGTCATGATAAGAGCCGAGGGAATGACAAATGGAACAATGGTATTCGAGATACGATTGTAACGGATTCATGTTTGTACCATCTCGAGATTTCGAGCATCCGCCGCGTTCATATTATTGAGTGTACAAAATTAATAACCTTGAGCTTGGAACAGTCTCCAATGGGATAGCACTACATTTCTTGAAAATCCTTTAGTAATTCTGGAATTGTTGCATGAGCGACGTCATCAGGGCAGCTAATTGAATAACAAATCTAACAATGGCAACAGTGTGCAAATGCATATTCCTTACACGACACAGCCCATTCTCGAGTTTGTCGCCGCTATATCACATATAGGTATACTTTTGCTGGCCTGTGTGGTAATTATTTTCAGACCTATTAGTTATTAGATTTGTAAACTTTTTCTGTTCCATGCGTGATTAATCAGATCCCAGTTCTTAGGAGACTTGCTAGTTTTCTTGTCCATCAGACAGAAGGGCTTGAAAAAATGAGTCATAAGCCCCCCCCCCTCCCCACAAAGAAGTCACAAAATGGTGGGTTCTAACTCTTTTGGTAGGATATTGAGCTTGAGTGATAACTGGAGTTAATAATCTAAAGCACAAGGATTATTAACCCTTTGAACTGGGTTGTAACTGTTTGTACCTCCAGCCTTAACAATGAGTAATTCTTCTGCATTTTGCCCTAAGATAGTATTCTTTGTGGGTTTCAGTATAATAATATAACGATTATTTCTTACACTAGTTCTTTGTAATGGAGGTGTTTTCTTTGCAGTAGGGACTGAATTTCTAAATATTATTCAGCAGAACTTCAGCTTCAAGTTGTTAATCTAGGCTACTCATTCTTTTTATGCTATGTTTTAGACTAGTTTATATGTAATATTAGACAGCCCAGTATAAGGTTTTTAAAATGTGTTATACTTTGTCTCAAATATGTATGGTTTTGTGTCATTGTTATCTAATGGTTTAGTTGACTTACAAGAAGATTTTGTGTTGTACA